AATAGACATGAGTTAACGGTTTTCTGTCGACATCATCAAATCTATGGTTTGAATGATTAGCTAAAACAAGCATACAATATAATAACTTTTATAATCCTTAGCCAAAATAAACAGTTTAAATACCCTACAAAGAGATAACCCTTTATGAAGTCGTCAAAAAGCAAAAGTTACGGCAGTTTTTATATGCTCAAATCCCTTTCATAAAGAAATAAAATAAAAAACAAATAAATCTCCATAGACACGTAAACCAGACTAGGCTAAAACATCTTCCGTTTCAAATTTAGACACCCCCACCTTACCCTGACTTGACATCTATGAAAGTAACTCTATACTGATACTTATTATTAACACCCAACACACGCCTACCCAATTTAAACAATTCGCCCTAGCTGTTACCATGGAAATTTTGATTTCAATTATTAAAACACGTAAATTTCTGAAATAAGTTATTCCAACAAAAATTTCGCTTGAAGATGGAACAGAGCTTTCTTTAACTCAATTTAATTCAAAAAATTATATTGAAATTTTCGGCTCTTGTTTTGAAACATGAGACCTCGTATGTCGCGAGTTGGAATCATATTTTTAAATAAATAATTATATATATATATATATATATATATATATATATATATATATATATATATATATATATAAATGTACATTACTCCTTCCTTTGATACTTTTATAATACCCTTTGCTTTTTATTATTATTCTTATTTCTTCTTCCCATCCTCCTCGTCCCTTTCTATAATACCCAACCTTGTTTAAAAATAATACAGTTTTCATCAGTTTTTAAAAAAATAAAGCGTTAAGAGGTAATTTGATAAACATTTCCTAAGGATACCGTAAATTTGATTCAACTGTTCTCCGATTATATATATATATATATATATATATATATATATATATATATATATAAATATAGTTAGCATAGATATCAACACTTAGGGCGACAGTTCTTTTTCATGTATATGCAATCGTCAGCCACGTGGCCTGACGATTGCATCTAGCATGAAACAGTCTATCGCCTCTAAGTGTTGACTTCTATGTTCACTTTTATATTTACACACGCTCTATCTCTGATATTGAACACTTTATTCCATAAATATAGCACACCTTAAGACTATATTTCTTCATATATATATATATATATATATATATATATATATATATATATATATATATATTTTATTGTTTTAAACTACAATTCTCCATGATTTTCTCTCGTAGTAGATTCATATCTTTTCGATGCGTATCCAAATATATAACGTCACACATTATGAAATGGACAAAGTCCGACAATTAGTTAAGACATTTTTTTATGTTTATACATTCTTTTTTTATAGATTCAAATATTTAAGTATATTCTTTTTTATAGATACAAATATTTAAATATATATCTCATCTTCTAGTCACCTCCTCAACGACGCACGGCACTCATAGCAGCTGAAATTGCCTGGTATAATACTGACTTCGCTGATTTTAGTGAAGATTCACTGGCTGAAGTTGGCGAAAAACACTCTGCTCAGTCATCTCGCCGAGTTTTCCACTGGGATCAATGAACGGCCCATGGCTCTCCGCATATCTCTTGCTTCTAACCGGTATTCCACCCTAATAAGTGCTTATTAGAGCCAGGGTTGGAATTGAGGTCACCTTTTACGTCACTCTCGATTGCATTCTTAAAGATTTTCCACGTAATGACAAAATCATTTTCATCGGAGACTTTAACGCTATAGTGGAAAGGGGTCACATTGTTTGTGCAACCCATAATATCACCATCAGCAACATTTGGTCTCGCCTGCTAAATAAAAGCAAGACCGCATGGATTCATCCTCGCTTCTAAAACTAGCATCTCACTGACTAGTGATAACCCGATGTTCCGACCTATATGACGTCCTGATTACCCGTGCTTTAGGTAGCACTGAGTTCGATATGTATCATCGACTTATTCTGTGATGCAACTTAAGATCAGGCCTCCATTTAGGAAAAAAGGGGCAAAGAAATAGTTAAATCTTGCTCCTTTAAAAGACCCATTTCGTGTCTCTAAGATCCAAGTATCTCTTACTAGTACTCTTGATGCGAAATCTTATCGTATGAGAATGACTACTCCAACGGGTGCCGAGTTGAGTGAAGAACGGGAGTGTATCTGTCGCTTCTTTCTTATACGCCGTCACAAAGTTGATTTTTAGCACAGCTCATCGCCATCATGATGACTGGTGGAACGATAACAATGTCGTAATTCGAGATCTGCTTACCCTAAAGAATAGAGCATACCATGCCTCACTTGTTACACGCTGTTCTAGCAGAGCAAAAGAGCTTCTCCAATTTACGTTCAGAGGCCCAAACCCGCCCTGCGTCATCAAAAACAACTTGTAGCGCAACAAGGCTGCGCAAATACAAACCTATGGTTATGAAAAAGAGCCACAAAAATTCTACAACAACATCAACGCAGTGTATGGTTCATTAATTCCTCAGTCACTCTCCTACGTTCTATAGACGGAAATACTTTCATCAAAGATTGAATATTGAACCGGTGGGTGGAATATGTAATGAGTTACTCAACTGTGTTAAACAAGTGATCCTGAAGTTGCTGATCGTTTGCTGTCATTAGTTCTAATGCCTGATTTCGACACGCAACCGTTCTTTGAGGAGATGTGTAGAGCCACAAAGCGTCTTCACAACATATCTGTGGAACCTGATTGTCTTCCAGGAGAAATATTCAAGTATGGGACTTCAAAAGTCAATCGTCGCTTTCATCGTTTTATCCCTTATGTTGTGGAACGCACAGTGCGTTTCCCAGCAATGGAAGGATGCGAACATTATCATGGTCTACAAACGAAAAGAGAACAAAGCTGACTGTGGAAAGCAGCGTGGGATCTCCCTGCTTGTAGTTCATGCCAGTATTCTCCTCCAACGTCTCCTCGCGATTGTCCTATATTTTCTCCTACCAGACACAATGTGACATCCGTAAAGTCCGCAGTACGAGAGATGATTTTTGTGGCGCATTCACTTCGGGAAAAATGCAGAGAACAGCACAGAGATTTTGTGCATTCTGGCTAAATGTTGCTGTTCGCCCAAGTTCATAGCCATTATCAAAGATTTTCACACCATTTAACATATATTATCGCGTTGTATCTGCAGGCATAATCTCGAATGATTTTAAAACAAAAGTAGGTGTGAAGCAAGTCTGAGCGCCGTCCTTATTCAACATCTATATTGCTTTTGTGACAACTGGAAGATGTCTTTTTCGCTGTGCTTTCTTCAATCCTCGTCAGCTTCATGCTCCATTGTTTTGATTTTCAATATACTGACGAATCTGCTTACCAAATCTGCATCATGTACATGAAACTATAGTAGTCCTGACCTTATGATTAATATTCGAAACACTGAACTTCTCTGCCAGCCGTCCGATGCATCAGCTAATGTTGAACAAATTAAGTGCGTTGTCAACTTTTCGTGTCTAAGAACAGTACTGTCTTCCATATGCAGGATCGATGACGAATTAAAAAATCGCACCCATCAAGCATCTAAGGCTTTTGAGCAACTTTGTCGTCAAGTCTTTCAACACAGGAACTTACTCACTTCCACAAAGGTCTCAGTGTACAACTCTATATGATTATCCATCTTTCTGTATGGCTATGAAACTTGCACGCCATATAGAGCAAATATACGAGCTCTTTAAAGTATCCACATCCGGAGTTTTCAACGTATCCTTGGACTGTCATAGGAAGATCAAATTCCACATAGCAATATTCCCCAGTAGCCGAAGCAATGGGGCTCTTGTCAACCAATGACAGCTAAGGCGGATTGATCATATTACCAGGATATCCAAAGAGGATCCTATAAGCAGGCTCTCGGGGGACCAGCGCTATATTGGAAGATCGAAAAAAACGTTTCAAAGATCACCTGAAAGTAATGCTAAAACAATATTGATCTTGCGGCACTGGAAGTTAGAGAAGCCACTTTGAGGACACTGTGCCGTAAGGCCATTGAAAGATTTGGAACTAACCGAACTCAAGTCGAAGAATTTGGTCGACAACAACGTCATGATCTCCTACTGCGAGCTCGTATGTGTGCTCTATATGGCGTCCAACCTGTGAACGGCAATATGCGTCTCTTCGCAGCCATCAACGTCAACATAATGTCATCAAAATCTGATTTCTTCAATTCTTGGTGGAGCAGACATCGTTGTTGTCGTCATCGGCGAATTTCATAAAGAAAAAAGCATCTGTGTGTGTTTTAACATATTAGATTCTACGAAGACATAACTTTCATTGAACTATTAAAAATTGATAATTCCTCTTGTAATCATTGATTTTCTGTTCAGTCCATTATCGTTGGAGCATGATTAGCTTGAATCAATATTTCTGCTGAACAAAAATTCAATAGGCTATTTTAAAAGCTAAGGATACTTAACATTTCTAATGTCAGTAAATAGTTATTTATTTCGTGTTTTGTTACGTAGATAATTTGCAATACCTTAGATGTTTTCTGACTGTTAAAGATTATTTAACATTGTATTTTCTAGTTTGCTTTGAATTTAGTTAAGGGTACTAATTTGCTTTAAATGTAGTTGGATATTGGCATGTAGACCTGATTTTGTGCCTTGAAAACTTGGAATATGCTTCATAATCTTGGTCCCCTGATCAATATCCTCTTAATAAAACAAGGAGGTTAGAGTGGGGTGTTTTTCACTGGAAAGTCCATGTTGGTGGGGTGAGGGATTAAAAAAAAGCTTTTGTGACGTCACTGACAGTTTGTCATATTGGCGTATGCTCTCAACCAATCACAATGTCATCTGATTTTAAAACATTTCTTTCAGCCATATTATGGTGATGATAATGATGATGTTCATCCTGGGGCTCAATATGTTTATGTGCTGCTCTTATAAACTACAAAAAACATCAAAAGGAAATTAACTTCAATCATGTTTATATTACCAGAGGGAGAAAAGCATTTTTAGATTTAAAGTTCTTTAGTTTAATGTCTGGTTAAAGATAATATCACCTTGGAACGCTGGTTATCGTCAGATCACCGAAGTTAAGCAAGGTTGAGTCTGGTCAATACCTAGATGGATGACTTCTTAGGAGTACCAAGTGCTGTAAAGTTAGATGCAATGTGCGTGTGGTGTAATAGATGAAGCTCAAAATTCCAAACTGCTTCGTTACAGTCATTGATGCGAAAATACTCATGAATCGAAACGAGATATGATCGCCCAAGTGTGTCACATCAACTCGTACCAACCAGCATTAAGCCAGCGTGGCAGAGCAATGGCCCATTCCTCATCATAAATCTGGGGACGTCCGACAAAAGGGCGTTCAAGAGCTGAGGAGTAAATTTGAATAAATGTCACCCCGCAAAAAAAAGAAGAAAATTGACTTACGACGAAAGATTTGAGAGTTAATCCGAACACATAAAATACTCAGCTTTGGTCACCTCGTCGTGGTATAATGATTAGCAAGTATATCATCGTAAGAACGATTGTAACTAAGTATTGAGTTCAATCCTCATAGGTATTTCCCATACTTTCAGATTTGTGCTACTAAGATGTTTAGAAAATCACTATAAATGTTCAGTTTTTTTCTCACTGACAAACGGATTAAGTAAATTCATTATATTTTTCTCTGGATTGTGTGATTTACAATTTCAAACCCTAGTTTATTCTTTTTCTGTAAACATTACTGTGAAAATCAAACAAAATAAACGTTTATATGGTTTTCTTTTCTTTACATCTTATTCTTTTCTTATTTCTTTCCTCTCCTTTTTCTTTCTTTCCTCTCCCCTCTCTTTATTCTCTTTTCGTCTCTTTTCTAGTCTTTCTCTTCTCTGTTATTTAAAATTCTTTTCCCCTTCATTATCTATTTTCTCTCAACTAAAGCTGTTCACTTTCGTCTAGAGTATTTTTTTTTATTATTTCCTGCTTTTTTTAATATCCCTCTTTTTCATTCCTTTTCTAAATAGATGGCTAGCAAACTGCAACTCGTTACCGTAAACATATGCACTTCTTTCTTCTTTCTTTTCCCTTTTATATTTCTATCTTTAAAAAGGTATGAGATTTACATGTGGGGTAATATATAGTTGCTCCAAATGAGAAATCAGACAGCCGTGTTCGAATTCCAGTCGGGTTCCTTACATTCACTTACGCTCAAATACTCTTGAGAAAAGTATGAATCCAATTCATGTACCGATTTATGAGTTAAATAGTAGGACTTGTATCTGAAAAAAAGTCATTGCTGTACTCAAAGGATTAATCCAATATTCACTCACAAAAATGAATTATTCTTAAAATCCAAAATGTGTTCGGTTTTACATAAAACAAAAATTCTTGATAAACCGTAAAAGGTAAAACAGTTCCAAAGGGTTCCAAAGTTCGACATATTGTTTTTGAATACCGGTCAGGCAATTTTATTCATTATTTTCAAAACCTTCTTTTTTTTTTATATGCATCTTTAAAAAATGTTAATAATAATAAAACAGTAATATAATGTACATTTCACGATAAATAATGCCCAGCTTTGGTTCCAGGTATTTTCAAAGCTATTTTGTCCGTGTTAGATAACCTGTTTAAAATATGGTTCGAAAAGCGGCCATTTTAAAAATATATCTGTGGCATACGTCAGTTTCGAGAGACCATGGATATGCGCTCCAAAAGTTATGCCTCAGCTACTGATAGCGGCGCAGAATGTGTTATGACTGGACAGGATCATACAGGAATGGCATTGTTTATTGCAACGTATGCTTGTGAAGACACTCTGCCCCAGTTTCGCTGTGTTGGTTTCTTTCTTTCGAGCACTCTTCTCCTTGGTGGCAAGCTCCTGTTTCTTCTCTCCTCATTCCAGGCCTCGATGTAAATCGCGTCTACAGTGTCAGCGATATTTGGCGACGGCTACCGACCTCTCGATATCCATCGTCCTCGTTTTTTTTTTTTTTTTTTTTTTTAAAGGAAAGATGATGTCGCCCTGCTACCTTCCTAATGGTGGCCAGTTTCTCGTACAGAAAGAGCTTTGGAATCTTCCCATCAGTAGATTGTTTCTTCTCGTGTTTTGCCGTCACTGTGAGGCAACGCTGGAATGTCCTCTACAGGGTGCAGGACTTGGCAATGATTTACGAGAGATCGGAGGTTGCCCATGCAGCACGTCTCCCCTCTCCTGTTACAAATTCATGACGGTCGTGTTCGAGTATAGAATCCAGAGGTTGGCAGCGAATATTTCGGAGAAACTAGGAAAGCGTAGTTCAGGTTCGCAGTGGATATCGTAGCAGAGCGTAGTTCTTCCTTTTGTTATCTTCGCCTGACAAGTTTGCACTGGTCATTCGGCTAGGGTAAACAAAAATGGCCGCCTTTATACACGACGGATAGAATGTTCTGCGGCTTCTGATTGGTTAACCTTCCATTGGTAGACTATAAAGTGAGTCGTGTCATTCGAACTGGCTCACTAGTTACATAATATACACAAAAAAACTGTAACATCTCCATGCTACCGATGTAGTCCAAGGAAAAGACAGTGGCCAATGCAGATTGGAACCGTCACAGGAGTTGCTAAAACGAAGTTGAACATAACATCGGACAGTCTCCGAATTTGACCTCAGGGTTTTCTCACGAAGCCTCATGATCGGGTATGGCCGCAAGGCAGCGGAAGTTTAAAATCAGTGTTTTCTTTCTTATATGGACTATCCTTTCGGGCTGATGAGTTTCATCGTCGACCCCCCCCCCAAACGTATATATTGACATAATATATAAAAATATATTAATCAAAATGTGCACGGAAAAGGACGGATAAAAGATTATTACTCCTCATAAAGTGGTGTACTGAAAAATATAACAGTAGAAACGAAGAAAAATCCAGTTGGCTATCGCTTCTCCCCGTTCTATACCTTGATGCAGATCAACCTATGTAGAAAACACCTAAAAAAAGCGAAACGAAAAATACTATTAGAGGAAATAAATAAGAAACAGATTACATTTTCTCCCAGCAGTTCCTTCTGCTTACAGATGGGTGGCTGTTTGGACTTAATATAAAGGGACCCTTTCAAATGGTAATCTCAGAATAAAAAAGTCTCTGGAAAAATAATAGTCATTAATTAGATCATCTTTTAGATATTCTGCAATCACAGAAGCGGAAGCAGAAATATTATAATGTGTATTCAATTTGTTTTACTTCCATCTATGGATCTTATCTGGTACTAGCTGGTCAATTGTCATCTCCAATCCCTGACTAGGGCTAACAATATATTACGTATCGCACTGACATTAGTAATAAATAACATTATTAATCACTGAACTAACATGATTATTAGGGGGCAGAACATCTTTACGAATAGATTTTAATAAGAATTTGTAAGTACAAACAAGCCCTGGATTGGCAGAAATATAAAAACTTTTATACTGACATAATATATAGTCGTCGACTCTCCCGTCGAGATTCGACGTCAAGCAGATCAGTTTTCAGGAAACCGACAGCCCGACAACGGCACATGAGATTTGATTATAGTGGTGAAGGCTTCGTGCAGGACCATCCACACTTTTTGAAGGGACGAATACAGAGACCTGGTGCACCGAGTGCCAGAAGGTTCCCAAACGACACTCCGCAGGTTTTGAATTCGGAGTTGACCTTCTCCTAGACTAGTTGCCATCCAAGGCTATATAGAACCCAGTCTGTCCTGCTATTTTACCCATAGCTGGCGGGAGAAGGAGAGGATTCATACCTTTCCCAAGGTTATTAGCACGTAAGTGAATGTAATGGATTCGACTGGAATTCGAACTCGGCTCTGCGATTCCTCAATCCAAGCCGATATCCATTACTCCACCGTGCCTCTCTTTCTTTCTCTCTCTCTCTCTCTCTCTATATATATATATATATATATATATATATATATATATATATATATATAATAAATAGGATTCCTTCGCTACATAAGAGTTCTCATGTTTCAAAAAACGAGAGCCGAAGCCATCAATATAATTATTAAAATTAAATTGAATTAAAGTAACAAGCCCTGTTTCATCCTCAAGCGAAAATTTAAAAAATTAACTCTTAGGCCCCTTATCAAACATGGTCGCCCCAGCTGTTTCCATAATAACGAATGATCATGCTTATAACGATACGTAAATTTCAAAATTGGTTATTCCTAAATTTTCGGAAGCTGATAGTTTTTAAGTTCTTTGGGTCTAGAAAATGTGCGCACTGACGTCAAATGTATTGAAATAAAATTGATATTGATCCAAGCGCCAGTTAATTAACTGCTAAGTAAGTATCACTAACGGAAGACATAATGGTGTCGACCACGCATTTAGTGCATGGACTGATTCTTTGAAAAGCAAATAGAATCATATCACAGAATGTGTATCTCTAAAAAGAAAAAAAAATATTAATAAAAAATAGTCAACTTTGATCTTCAAAAGTTTAATCGTTGTCATATGTGTTTTTAATTCTTATTCTTTTCTTTTCTCTCCTTAATAAATTCCTGTTTTATTTCCTCGTATTAATTCACACTGAATAACACTTTGTATCTTAATCGCGTTATTTCCTTGCTTGCGGTGAAATGATGGCCAAAGCACGGCCGGCAAAGCATCTATGCAGTTTAGAGGCTGTATACATTAAATTACACCGACCGTCTTTGTGCCGAAAGAAAGAGAAATGTTTAATTTCTTTACTGGGACGCCTGTCAGTCTATATTTTCCTTTTGAAACTCACTGGAACGATTTTTTTTGCTATTTCCCACCTATTTTTTTGTCTCCCTTTTTTTAAATTAAATTGTATTTTAGTCGTATTTCCTGGTCCCCCTACCCCACCACCCAGTTTTTTTTTATTAGTCAGCGTTTCTTCTTAACATTATACTAATCGTTTATCGATTCTTCTGATGAGGGTACATGAGGTAAGAGAAAAATAAGTGATTTTGTCAGTTTAAAAATATCTATAAGTTCTTTGGTATCATATATATATATATATATATATATATATATATATATATATATATATATATATATATGAATAAAAATTCCAATAACCAACAATTTGAAACTTTTAAAACCATTTATTTTACATTAAACATCATCACTTGATAAGACACAGGTGGTGTTGAAACAAAACGGCTATTTTTGTAGTG